GGAGGACGAGGAGGAGGAGGAGTGCGGGGCGGCCGCCGGGGCGGGGCAGAGGCCGGGAGAAGGGAAGCCGAACCCGAGGCCGGGGCAGGAGAGGGGCGAAGGCGGGGAGCTGGAGAGCCCCCCCACGGGCACGAAGACCTGAGCCTCGGGGTTGAACCCGGCGCTCCGGCCCTCCCTCTCCTGCAGCTCCGCCTCGTGCTGCCCCGGCTCCCCCGCCCCGCCCGGGGGGCCGCGGGGGTCCTCCAGGTACAGCACCTTGACGGCCCCCTTCTCCCCGATCTGGTAGGACACCTCGTAGGGGTCGATCCAGACGCTGAGGCCCGGCGGGACGTTGGCCCGGACCTCCTCGGTGTCCAGGCCGCTGCGGCGGGCCGCCAGCTCCACCAGGGGGTCGGGGGGCGCGCCCAGGTGCAGGCAGCGGAAGGCGGAGCCCCGCAGCGGGGCCTCGGGGTACCAGTGGCCCTGGAAGCGGGCCACCAGCAGCCTCTCCAGCTCCTCCCCGAAGAGGTGCGCGCGGCGGCGGGGCAGCCGGTTGTAGAGGTAGGACATGATGAAGTTCAGGGCCACCTTCACCTCCAGGTGCATGGCGGCGCCCAGCGGGGGGCCGGGGGGGCCCCGGGGGTCAGGCGGCTTCAGCGGGGATCCGGGGGAGACGTCCGCGTCCGGCGAGAGAGGCGTGGCCACCGCGGCGGGGGCCGGGCATCGATCGGTCAGAACAGCCAACGCTGCAGCTGGCTCTTCCTCTTCCTCTTCCTCTCCCTCTCCCCCCTCCTCCTCTTCCTCTTCCTCCGACAGACCTGGGGGGGCGAGCAGAACCAAGCTCAGCTCAGGGAGGCCACCCGGACGAACAGAACGACCCCCGGGGGGGGGGGGGTGGACACTCCACACGGACACTCTCGCTTTCGGAGATTGACCCCCCCCCCGAGCAAGACAGTGGGCGAGACGGGGGGCTTAAGGGGGACTGCAGGTTTTCCACAAAACAGTTTTTTGCGTCTGGAAAGGAGAAAACACACCGGGGAAAAAGGGATGGGGGGGGTGGCGGCACCCCGGTACAGTACAGATGGAAGAAGCGAGGCACAGGAGTGAGAGCGGGGGACGACACCGCAGCAACTGGCAGGAGGCGAGAAGGCTGGGATACGGCTGCACAGAGGAGAATTGTGCAGAACAAACCTCTCCCCTCCTGCTAAATCATCAATAAGTCTAACGGATTCAAAAAACACCTGTTTTAGCTGCGTCACGAACGATACGCGTCTTTACATTGCGACAGCGTAAAAACGCGCTCGGTAATAAAATGGATGGCGTGTTGTTTTGTATTGGGTGCTCCCCGCCGGCCTGACGTGGGAAACTACATTTCCCAGAACTCCCCCGTCCCCCCAAGATACTTCCGCCTGCGTCATCACCACGCGTACACCAGTGCGGAATCCAACTCCCAGTATAAACAACTACAAATACTAACATCCTGCTCACTGGAATGGTGCGGTAATTTACATTTATGCGGATCCTGCAATGTTTTATTCCCTAGCACGAGCGTCAGTACTGGAGGAAAGGTTTCGTGTGTCCTGCAACTGTAGACTCGAGCCGGGTCTCGCTGCTAGAGATCAGATTTCCTACTCGGCAATTTAGGAAAAACGTGTCATTTTAAGGTGACATTGTTG